CTACCGCGATAGCGCATAGAGAGAAACATGGAAAAGTTGTCTTCAAGACACTTTTCTTAAGCAATCATTTTTTGATGAAGGTTACGTCGAAGGGATCCTATTTTAGGGGCTGGTTGAGCAACCATTATGTAAGTGCCCAATGTCCTATAAAAATTAAAATGTGCGAAATAAAGTTTTGCCTGCTGATTATTTAAGAACATATCAACCAAGCGCAATAAGACAGCAACACTAAAACACTTTGAGCCTTAAGGATTGAACTCGTTCCACGGCTGATTACAGATCAGATTGAAAAAGAGATTTGAAACACATTTGAATGTAAACACATGAAGGACTAAGAGAGAAAAAGAAGGAGAATAAAACGTGCTCTTGCACTCCCTGTATAGAATAAAAAATAAGCTCTTGATACAGTGGTGTGACCACGAATTTTTGATTTCATCACTTATGAGCAGTACACTGCATTGCAGATATATGACCATTATTTAGTAAAAGAGCAAGCGAATTCTACGTCTGCAATCGCAGAACGCTCACCCGTAATGAAAATCAATACGTAGCTAGAATTTCAGAAATAGAAAGGGTACAAGGTAAAATCAAAAAATGAAAAGAGAACCTGTACTACGCAATCGAAGGTTAAATCATTACAAATATTGAGAAGGCGGGTTAACGAATCCAAAATCATAAGATTATCACATAAAGATTCTGACAAATAGTATGAAGGACAACTTGGACAATTTTTGCAGATGAAATCTTCCTTACACAGGTAAGCAGTACCTTAAATGGCAAGATTTCCCAGCATCCCATTTATACAGCTTTACAACCATTTTTTGCTAGTGCATACGTTCCGAACGACACAGGAGCTTTCACTATTTCTCGCTTTTGCGTTCTGAGCATGTCGGTGTCATTCTTGCGTGACTGTTCCTTCCAGCTAGCTAATCATTGAATGAGCCAGCAAATAAGTGCTCTAGGAAAAGTTGTTGTCTTCCACAAATCACCTTTGCTGCTTCGCGGCAATCTGATTCAATCTTGTCGACCTAACACCATCACACATTCACTAGTCATCGTCGTCATCATCACTCGTTAGAACATCTGGATCTAATGGGGGATAAAGGGTCTCGGGTTCATCATCCAGCACTCCAAACGGGGCAAATACCGGGATTTCTGGGAAGCGTTTGACTAACGAGCTTTCCAGAAGTATAGGCGAAGGCTGAAAAATAGATATGTTTCTAAATAATCCGAATCGACTTTTTTTTGGAGAAAAAAAACCGCTAGCAAAAGAGCACGCTTTTTCCAGCGATTTGTTTGAATCTAATTTGAAACAATTAGTAAAATTTTACCAAAAATAACGCACTCCTGTTTGGTTAGTAGCTCCACAACATCTCTAAAAAGACCCCCTTAGAATCAAAAAAAAAAACTCACATGGCGTTTTCTCGAGTTATTTGTTGGTCGGAAGTAAGCGTAAGGATTTTCAACTAGCTCCGTGGGATCTACAAGGGTCGTTGGGGTGTTGTTTCTGCTCACAAAGTAATCAGTTATAACATCATCCGAACCAAAACCTCGCGCATCGTTCCGCTCGTTGCCAGACTGCTGTAAAAAAGATAATATTAATATTCACATATCAAAAAATATGAAATATCTTCAAACTAACTGCTTTTTCGTACTGCAGTCTAGACATTCCTAACTCAAGATAGTCTCCAAAATGTTCACGAATTGATCGCCCTAGCCAAGGAACTGCCGAAGCAGATCTAAGGAGAGATAAGATTATAAGTGCTCCACGAAAGTATTTTGATAATAACGCGCTTACCTTTTCCCCTGCTTGCTAGGCACAGAAAATCCACGAATCATCTCAGAACGTGCTGCTCTACATCGTCCGACATTTTCAATCGGTTTCAAATCCATCAATCTAAAAATACATCAACAATACAGTAGCAGCAATATAACAAAAATAACAAACCTTTTCTTTTCTACTTCAGCGTAGAGGACAACCTGATGTAACCAAATGCCATAAGCAGGGAGTTGATCAAGTGTTCCAGGGCCAGGTCTTGGCATCTCAAGAGGAGTGGAGCTCTTTATTTTCTCAAATCTAAAATTCTGGCTTTCAGAAAATCGAATACCTATAAGATCCGATAGCAGAAAACTTCAATTAAGGGTAACAAATTAGTATTTAGCGATTCCGTCCATGTATAACGGATAATTTAAAGATCTACAAAAACTAACCTAGCATTTCTTCTCCTTTCAAAATAGTCAACTCTCTGAAATGGCTTAATCTTCTCGCGCATTTCTTTACGTTGATCCAGAAACTCTCCATCTTCATCGGTCTCATGCACAAAGTGATTAGCGAATTCATGACATTTCATCCTTTAAAAAAACACAATAGTCTCTCTCCTTTTCGTGAATTCACAGAAAACTTACACATCAAGAGTTTTGTAGTCAATCGGTTCCTTTTTCAACATAAATCCAGGAAGAGTTTCTGGAAGCGGAGCAGCATCTAGCGCATTTTGAATCATCGCCATCCAGTCGAGTTCACCAGTCTAAAAGAGAGAGATTTACATTCTTCAAATTACAAGTAATCTTCCCTTTTGTCGAGGAAAGGGAGTTCATACAAACCTCTTTAGATCTGATGATTTTCAGAGTTTCGATCTGATCGAAGGAATTAAACGAAGCCGTGCTGAATGTGTTGGTAGCGGTGAGATCGTCGGTCGAATCGTCATTGGCTGTCGAGTCAACCGTTTTCATCTTCAGGTATCCTTGTTCGCAGTCAACCTAAAGAGCTCCAGATAAGCCTGGACATAACTGATAAGTCGTGACGATGTCCTTACCGTATACTGGATTTTCCTTCCCGCAATGACCGTCGTTATCGTATCGGCATCACAGCATTTCCTCGTAGGAATCTCACAAGAACCAAACTCGGTATCTTCATCTTCCTCTTCATCGTCGATCACTTGCACTCTAGCTGGACTACTTGGGTACACTATATCCATACTTTCCTCCTCAGGAATGTGAGTTGCTTGTAGTTCGGCATATTCTAATTCATCCACAGCTGTCTCTTGGATACTCGCAACCCATTTCCTTACTGCTTCAACGGACTTCTTCCTTCGATGGCTCTTCAAACTGAATTCGTCTTGCTGGATTGTAGAAGGGTTGAATAG